CCCGGGTATGCTGGCGAGCAAGGTGATGGTCCCTATCCTCAGGGTGGTTCTGGCTCGATGCCTTCTGGTGCCCCATTCGCCGACCCCCGACCTTACGCTCCGATCCCGAAGGCGAGGCCCAACTACACAAAGCTAGGTACGTTCTTGCAAACCACTCTTGCGGGACTCTTCGAAAAATAAAATCAAAAAGGAAATACCGCGCTGAGCTTTAATAGCTTGGAATGCTAATACACATGGCTATTTCTCAGATTTGATCAAGTATGACACTCCATACCTCGGACCGAAGATCCAACTCATGCTGTCTCAATTGGAGTTCAAGCTGAGCGTGGAAATGCAATATAAAGCCGGTATTGAAAAGATGGTCCGCTTGTACCAGGATGAGGGCGACCGAAAGAGCCGAGCTGACGCCGAGGGCCGTCGCATTGAGAGTAACCAAAAGATTCAGCTTCTAAAGCAGGCGCTGAAGCGATACGAAGATCTTCATGTTGATATTGAATCCGCCGATGCACCAGATGGTATGAGAAACATGGCAATCTATCTGCGAGCATAATGTGATATGGGAACTAACTATGTGCAGATGAGAGTCTTAGTGTTCCGAACATGCGCAAACCGCTAACGGGTCTGCTGACAATGCGCATCCATGCGGTCAAGGACGTGGACCATGCAGCCAGTTCTCGATTTTCTCGAGGACCAGAGACATACATTGTCGTCAAGGTTGAAGACACGATCAAAGCGAGAACTAAGGCCATCCGAAACGATAAATGGCAGGACGAAAGCTTTTCTATGGATATCGACAAGGCAAACGAGATCGAATTGACTGTTTATGACAAGTCAGGAGATCGCCCAGTACCAATCGGCATGCTTTGGGTGCGCATTTCTGACATCGCAGAGGAGATGCGTCGCAAGAAACTTGAGACGGAGCTCAATGCATCTGGCTGGGTATCGGCAGATAAGATGGGCGATGGCGGATCTCCTCGACATGACAACGCCGGTTCTCCCATGGGCTCTTCACATGGCCCTAGCCCCGGAGGACGCCCGGGCACCTCGGGGCATGCTGCACATGGCGGCGAGAGCTCAAATGCTCCCCCGACAGTGGCGATTGATTCATGGTTTGCCCTGGAACCGGTTGGCCGAGTTCAGCTTCAAATGAGCTTCGGTAAGACTAACTTGTATTAACCCCAAATCAAGCAGCCCCATATGCTAACTGAATATAGCCAAACAACTGAAGGACCGCCGTCCCTTTGATATTGGTCTTAACCGTCAAGGTGCCGTTCGTCAAAAGAAGGAGGAGGTTCACGAAAAGCAGGGTCACAAGTTCATCACCCAGCAATTTTACAACATCATGCGCTGTGCATTGTGTGGAGAATTCCTCAAGTATGCTGCCGGCATGCAATGTGCGGACTGCAAGTACACCTGCCACCGCAAGTGTTATCCCAAGGTTGTCACCAAGTGTATCAGTAAAGCCAACTACGAGACCGATCCGGACGAGGAGAAAATCAACCATCGCATTCCCCACCGATTCGAAGGTTTTTCCAACATCTCCGCCAACTGGTGCTGCCACTGCGGTTATCTGCTTCCGTTTGGACGCAAAAGTGCCAAGCGCTGCTCTGGTAGGCATATTACTGACCTCGCAGCTTATTCATAGTTTGTGCTAACCCCCTTTATAGAATGTGGTCTTACGTGTCACGCTCAGTGCACTCATCTCGTGCCCGATTTCTGTGGAATGACGATGGAAGCTGCCAATCAAATTCTTGAGACACTGATTCGCACCAAGAATCACAACAAGTCTGCCTCTGTTAGTTCTGGCCTCAGCAACCGTACCCTTCGAGCAGGCGGTCCGCCGCAGCCCGCTCAAGACAACGCTGCCCTCTCCTACCCCCCGAAGCCGATAGAAGGACCTTACGGGGTTACTCCTAGACAACCCTCTGCAGAAGCGGTAAGCGCTGCCACTAACTCTCTCATGACACCACAGTCACCAACTACTGCTGCGCAGGCTGCACAGCACCAGCAGATGCCACCCAATTCGCCCACAGGACCTTCCGCTGCCGCTGCCGCTGCCGCCGCCGCCGCCGCAGCTACCGGGCCACGTAGCCCTCAGCAACCACCAAGTATGCAATTTCCGATCATGTGTTGAAGAGAGAATCTTGGTGCTAATTAAAATTTAGCCGAAACGGGCCGTCCTATGCCGCAACCCCAGGCACCTCAGCAGCCCCAGCACGCCCACTACGACCCATCCGCTTATGCCAATTTCTCGCAGCAGCCTCCACCCCAGGCTATGCAGAATGTGCAGCCTGCGGCTTATCCGATGGCGCCGCCTCCGCAGCCCATTCAGCAACAAATCCCCCAACAACAGCAAGTTGCACCTCCTATCAAGGACGACGCTGCAGCGCAGGCAAAGGCTCGCATTGGATTGGATCACTTCAATTTCCTTGCTGTTCTTGGAAAAGGTAATTTCGGAAAGGTCATGTTGGCTGAAACAAAGAGCTCCCGCAAGTTGTATGCCATCAAGGTGTTGAAGAAGGAATTCATTATCGAGAACGATGAAGTGGAGAGCACCAAGTCAGAGAAGCGTGTTTTCCTAATCGCAAACAAGGAACGGCACCCCTTCCTTGTTAACTTGCACGCTTGTTTCCAAACTGAAACTCGTATCTATTTCGTCATGGAGTATATCAGTGGTGGTGATCTCATGCTGCACATCCAGCGTGGCCAATTCGGTCTCAAGAGGGCACAGTAAGTCCTATGTTCGGCATTTGCCCTATCTTGGGGGTTAGAAATGCTCACCAGTTTTAGATTCTATGCCGCCGAGGTCTGCTTGGCACTCAAGCACTTCCACGAGAACGGAGTCATCTATCGTGACTTGAAGCTTGACAATATCATGCTGACCCTGGATGGTCACATCAAAATCGCCGATTATGGTCTTTGCAAGGAGAACATGTGGTACGGTAGCACAACAAGCACGTTCTGTGGTACTCCTGAATTCATGGGCCCAGAAGTAAGTGGGATCAAGTTTGATTATGTCTTTTTGATGTGCCGATGAGCTAAATTTTGTCACAGATTTTACTGGACAAGAAGTATGGACGGGCCGTGGATTGGTGGGCGTTCGGTGTTCTCATCTACCAGATGCTTTTGCAACAGTCTCCGTTCCGTGGTGAAGATGAGGATGAAATCTACGATGCCATTCTCGCCGACGAGCCTCTCTACCCCATTCACATGCCTCGCGACTCCGTGTCGATTCTCCAGAAGCTGTTGACTCGTGAGCCCGAGTTGCGTCTGGGCTCCGGTCCCACCGATGCCCAGGAAGTCATGTCTCATGCCTTCTTCCGCAACATCAACTGGGATGACATCTACCACAAGCGGGTTCCCCCACCATTCATCCCCACTATCAGCAGTCCTACCGATACCAGCAACTTCGATCAGGAGTTTACTAGTGTGACTCCTGTCTTGACGCCTGTTCAATCTGGTGAGATCTTTTTGACATGTTGTGTGCTTGCTGGAACACGAACTATAGCTAACCGATCCTTCTTACTTAGTGCTTTCACAAGCCATGCAGGAAGAATTCCGTGGATTCTCCTACACTGCTGACTTTGCTTGATTCCATCGATGTGTGATAGGGATATCTATTGCTTGCTTGGACACCTGTCACGAGTTGTTGACGAGGGTGTCAATTCGGTTCATGGGGGTTCAATGCCGACACGTCCAGTTTCTTCAGGGCGCCGCGGGTCTCCCGCCCTTTCCAGCACTTCTTGCTCTTCAAATTGTTTCAACATACCCAAGCGCAGTTTCGTTTCAAGTGCCGGTGTAGACCGGACCTCACTGATATGCTTCGACCACCGGATATCCTGGTTAATGAAACCTCCAGGTTGCTTTTGCCTTCTCGATTCCTTTGTGTGTTTATCTAAATTGCTTGCTCTATTTTTCCCTTCCAAGTTCTTTTTCTATCCAAGTTTCCCTACCGACTGGTAGGGCTTATGACTTTATTCTATGTCGGGCATTTGATGTCCCAAAAAGGCGAGGGGACGGGTTCCCACATGGGAATTGCGTGAAGAGGGTTCCGAGAGAGTTTAATGAGAAGTGACGAAGTTTGAAGATCTATGAAGATAGCGTAGGTCCCTTGATGGACTGCGTGCGCGTTATGTCCAGTGAGATGTCCTAGCGGTTCGTGGTATGGAGAGAAGGAGATTCAAATACGAGCTAATCCATCCCATCTGTCTATTTTGTAGTTGGGTCATGGTTTTATATACATTGGACACATATATGCCTATCTAGATGCACATGTATACTGCCCTCTCCCCTTCCTAGTCGAGGACTACCTTAGGTACCCGTTCCTTCCCAGTTAGGAAGCCAAACCTCGTGTGCCTTACTCTATTGCAAAACCACGTACATGCTCCTTTTGTTTGCCTTCATCCTCTGCCATTCTTCTGTTCGTCTCTCATTCTTTTCCAATTCGCCACATCGTTTTGACTCCACTGTCCAGCCTTCTTTCTTTGTTCCAGAAATAGATGACGCTTCGGAGGTCTGTTTCAAAGGTGCTACCAAAAATTCAACGCTTGTTTTGTCGGGGCTTTTAGGCCTTGATTAAATATACTGATACCGTGTCTTCGAGCAACAAAGGGAACCTGCCCTCGAGAAACGAAGAACCCTCACCCCCGGGCAACAAAGAACACACCCCTCCCTCCACCCCAGAGGTCGGCCAACCGCCGTCGAGCTTCCATCCCATCAGAAAATGACCTGACAGTCCGACTTCCCCTGCTAATGGGTCTCTCATCAACAGGGTGCGACCTAAAGTCTACAAGCATCGACTTTTACATCGGCTTCTGTGGAAGATCAGAATCAGAATCTCTTCCGGCCTGGTTCAGCGAGACTTGGGACAACGATTCGGAGATTCGACGTTTCTTTCGGGAGGACGAGGTTTTCCGCGACACCAATTCAAGTCCTTCTCCCTATCCTGCTACCCCAGTCCTGCCACAACCAGCGGTTGCAGCTCCTCATCGCTGAATACCATGCCTGATAAGGTTGTTCAGTTGAACGAACAGGGTCAGATTGTAAGTCTTGTCTTTACCATCGTTTGTCATCTAGCAATTTGACTTCAGTTATCTTTCTCTCACTAGTTCACCTAACTGACTTCCATACCAGGTGGCCTCGGCCCAAAAGCGGGCCCTCTTCCCTGATGACAATGAGCCCCAGAACCCGGCTAGGCTAGTTCAACTCGAGCCAAAGGGTTCTGCGACAACGCACAAGTGGCCCGAGGACACCGACATCAGTGGGGACGAAAAATGGGACTCCGATCCGCCCACCTCGCCCGAATACAAGATTTCCAGTGCGAGTGGTGATGGGGACAGCGATACCAGTGACTCTCTTTCTTCGCCGTCCGCAAAGCGAGTGAAGATGGCTGATCTGCATCACTCGGTCAATAAAGGTCGCTCGCTTAAGCCTAAGGCCAAAAAGGCCAGGAGGAGGAAGACATGGGATTCAGATCAGTCAATGTCTGAGCCAAGTGACCTTGACTACGAGAGCGAGGAAGAATACTTCATTCCTGCAGGAGAGCGGGACGACGAGCTGCTCAACAATAAGCTGACTCGAGAAAGGGCAAAGCGCCTACTTGAAGCAATGGAACTCCCCCAAGGCCACGACCTGTCACCAGACGAACAGCGGACTGCCCATCAACTTCTGACTCGTGGCTGCATGCCAACCATCCATAGACACTGGGAGAAGGATTTCTCTACCCTTCCAGAGTCGCTATTCTTTTCTGGGAAAGATGACGAAATTCAGTGTAACGAATCTCACTTTGTCCTTGGAAACAATAAGTGTTCCGAATTTTACGCGATCCGTGCCTTTCAAGAGCTTTTAAAGATATGTGGCAATGTGAGGGACTACTGTAATATCCTTGACATCGGTCCTGGGATCTATATCAAGAAGTCGATAGAAAAATACCTGCGCTGGGCATTGAACGATGCCGGTGTCAGGGTCCAGCCGGACACACCCCATGTGCATGTCATCTATTGCCAACATCAGGATGAAGAGCCAAAGGAAGCCTTTAGTAAAGTTGCTGAAACATTGGAGAAGCTATCGAATACCTGGCAGAGCCTACTTGCTGCACCCCACGATGTTGAAGCAGCTTGGCCCGCATTGATGGGACTCGTCCTCTGTGGACCTGTTCTTTCGGCCATCTCTCTGGACACCAATCCTTATCCACAAACCCAAACACAAGGAATTAAGTTCCTTGGTCATTTTGACCTTTCAGATTTTGATAATGATGTGTGGAACACCCTAGCTGTCGCGATCATCGTCATGCACATCAAAAGGACCTTGACCAAACTCGCAAAAGGCTACGATCACAGATTTGTGGCCTCGACATTTGATAACCCTGTCATTGGTTCCCCGGACCTCGATCGTTAATCAGCGTATTATCCGAAGATCTATGAGACTCTTTGGCTGCAATAGCTTTTAGCTGCCATTAAGAACTCTTGACTTGGATATTTCAAACAAGACATGAGGGGAAACAATAATCTCTGATCTTCTAGGGTTTACCCTCAATCGAAAGACTGGGTTATGAAGACATGATTGTTTCCGCCACAATCCTTTCAGGGTTGATATTGTTGTCTTTTTATGATGGCACAATTTCTCGAGGAACCTTTGGCAATTTAGTGTGAACATTGAGCCACAAGTAGTTTACTGCATGAAGTGCTTTGAATTTTCCCTATGCATCGAAATTTAGATGGCAGTAGGTTCAAGCCAGGTACGAATGCTCATGTATGCTAGTGGAGCTCAGTAGGTAGGTAGGTAGGTAGATTTAATTAACGTCCGGCTGGGAGCAAGCGAAAGCTTGCTCCTGCGACCTCCCATGGGGTATTGGGACGTGCAATGCTATGGTTTCTATTATACAAAGATCCTTCTCCACAGATTGCAGTTCGTGCATTCGTAAATGCGAGGGCTGAGTAGCCAGTTGGTGACAGCTGTCTCCGACGTGTGAGCCGGCCATCATGGGGGTGAGGGTCCCGGGGGGTCCAGGTGGGTAATTGGCGGGTGCCAAAAGACTTTGTTGAGGATACCGCATCGGGTATTCGCATGTTGTCGCCTCTAAGGGCTTGTGGGCGCGGAGATAGTGGAGCTCAGTAGATGCGTGAAGCAACCATTTGCCTACGGAAGTGTTGCGACCAATGCAAGGATTCATTTGCTCGTCAGATCTCCACTTTCGCTGAACACCTGTTTCCCCCATCTGATTTTCAATGATCCTTGAATCATCCTTGTCATTGTATTTGATGAACTCCAATCTTGAAAATTGTGTGGTTTGGAATCAGGAGAACTCCCAGCGCTCTAAAACAAATCCTGCATGATGATCTCCGAAGACCAAGGGGCCACAGAATCCTCCCCACTGTTGCGCGACATTGACCCAGAAGCAGCAAGCAATTCCAAGAATTCAGGATGGCGACAAGAATTAGCAATCATCTCACGATATTCCGCCCCGCTCATGATATCGCTTCTACTTCAACATGCATTGAGCGGTTCTAGCATCTTCATGGTGGGCCACCTAGGGAAACGAGAAATCGGGGCCGTGAGCTTAGCCAACATGACTGTCCAGATCACTGGATTTTTTGTCTTCCAAGGGCTAGCAACATGTTTGGATACCTTATGTCCTCAAGCATATGGTTCAGGGAACCTGACCATGGTCGGGCTGCATGTTCAGCGACTGACGCTTTTCATGCTCGTCCTTACAATCCCAATTGGAGCTATATGGTGGAATGCGGATCGAATCTTTCTTCTCATCCTACCGTCTGAATCCCAGGAGACGGCTCTTCTCGCAGGATTGTATCTGAAAATTGCCATCGCCGGCGCTCCCGGTTATGCTTGCTTTGAGTCCGGAAAGCGATTTTTCCAGGCACAGGGATTGTTCAGTGCTAGTCTGGTAGTTCTGTTGATATGTTCTACATTGAATATTTTCATGGGCTGGTTGTTTGTTTGGGTGTGTTATTCAATCTTGAACTCCCCCAGGCTATCCACTAATTATCCCCTTTCCCCTTAGAGACTGCAATGGGGCTTTATCGGTGCACCTATCGCCGTTGCGATCGCAAACAGTCTTCTGCCCGTATTTCTAGCCTTCTATGTCATCTTCATCAAGGGCTCTGAATGCTGGCACCCCATTTCTTTCGAGGTGTGGCGCGGCTGGGGTCCAATGTTGCAGCTTGCCATCCCGAGTTGGCTAATGATCGAAGCCGAGGTCCTCGCATGGGAATTCATGACCATTATTTCGTCCCGTCTAGGTGCAACTGAGCTTGCGGCCCAGGCTGCTATATCGACACTTTCAGACTTTGCATTCCAAATCTCGTTTTCCATCGCTGTTGCTGGTGGCACACACATTGCCTATCTGATCGGAGCAGGCTTCCTCCAGCGTGCGGCAACAGCAGCCAAGGTCATGGTCCTTGCTGCCTTTGGTGCTGGCATATCAAATATGCTTGTGATCCTTGCTCTCAGGAGTGTCATTCCGGGCTTATTTAGTGATATCGGTGAGGTCTGGCAGTACATCTTCTTATTGCTTCCATTGGGTGCCGTTGTTCAAATTCCAGACGCCGTGGCCACTTCTCTCAATAGCTTACTGCGGGCTGTGGGACGACCGGATCTGGGGAGCTACGTTCAGCTCTCAATCTACTACCTCGTGGGATTGCCTTTGGGCATTGCTTTCGCATTTGGCTTGCACTGGAGCATTTTTGGGCTATGGTGTGGAATCCTTATCGGCCAGTCGATCATTGTGTCGATCGAGGGCTTTTATTTCTGGAAAATGGTGGACTGGGAGAAGGCATCCCGAGAAGCGGTAGATCGTATGTGATCATGGAGAGAGCTTCTCAATGTTGAACGAACTAAGACAGCTTCAAAAGGTCACAATACATCACATCACTGTACGCCGAACTTGGAATATAATTTTCTCTCTAGCCAGCTTGTAAAATTGAAATCTACAGAAGAACTGGTATGGATAAAGAGTAACCAAAAAAATGCATCGGCTGAACCAAACAAGAGAACAATTAATACACTCAGGCGTCACATGACCGGTCCCGCTGTTGACGCTATTCCCAACACTGTGATCTTCAAGACTGCATCGCCCAGCAATCCACCATGGATGCCGCCGAGGATCGAGACGTGAAGCTTCAACGGGCCTCCGGGGATTTGGTGTCCGAGTTTTCCGCAAAGCTTCCCTCGCTATTGTGGAGAGCCCAAAATGGCACTCCCCTCCGCACCCCACGTAAATGGGCGCAGGTCACCAAAACGAACAAGCTTGTTAACCTTGTAAGACTGCACCGCATGGCTCTCTTCTAGACTCACTCTCTGTTCCAATTTACTGATGATGTCTATAGCTTGAACCCTTTCAAGAATGGCCTCAACTCTTAGATCCACATTTGCAGACATTGCTGCCTCCTTTAGTGGACGCTTTTCTAGCGTATCTGATCAAGCACCGCACTCAGTATGGCTCTGTGTCGACGAAGTCATCTCAAGCAAGGAATCTGTTCCCCCTACCAAGAGCCATCTGCAGATTACTTTACACTTTCTGCAAAGTCCGTGGCGTCAAAGTGATTAGCAGATTCTTAAACAATGAGCCGAAATACCTAGATTCGATGCTTCGGGCCTTCATCGAATGGGATGCGATACGGCCAAATTCCGAAGAACTGGTCGAATCTGGAACCCAGCGACTCATCTGGGAAGAACGCTACGTGATGCTGGTCTGGCTTTCGCATCTTCTACTTGCTCCTTTTGATTTGTCGTCCTTATCATCAGATAGTATTCCGGTGCCATATGATAATCTACAACAGTTAACTTGGCTACCATCTGAGACTCCTATGATTGCCCAGTCGCTTCTTTCCCTGTCGTTGCACTATATTGGTGCGTCGGGAAAAGAACGTGAGGCAGCCACGGCACTTTTGGCACGATTGGCTTTACGCGGAGACATGCAAGCTCTCGGTATGCTTGCAGGTCTGACAAAGTGGTCATTCGCTATAGTACAACCGACGGGGAACATCGACTCGCCCTCTGTCTATGCTTGTATCGGGGTCCTCACATTCATTGCTCGCTTGTGCGCATCGGGTCAGGTAGAGGACTTTGCTCCCCTGGTCAATTCTGTCTTCCAGCAGACTCTCAGTGTATTTCAAGAGAAGTCTTCAGTATCTGCGACAATCCAGTCTTCGGCGTTGGCTAGAAAGATCGTTGTCAAGATCCTTCGCAACATTACAGTCATGGCCTTGTCCTTGAGTGAGCGAGGCGACGCCCACATCACTGATTATCAGTTATCGACCATACTTGAAGATGCAATTGATCATTTCTTGGTCTCCTTGGCCGACAAAGATACACCCGTGCGATTTGCAGCGAGCAAAGCACTCAGCATCATCACTTTGAAATTGGACCCAGAGATGGGGACGGAGGTCATTGAAGCGGTTATTGGCTCGCTGGGAGAAAACATTCTCTATGAAAAAGATGATGGCTCCCTCGTGACGCCATTTGAAGCCAGGAAGATTGGCACACACACCCTTAAACGTAATCTCAGTGCAGTCGATGCCCAGCAATGGCAAGGATTAATCCTGACACTGTCACATTTACTTTTCCGCCGAGCACCTCCTATTCCCCAGCTTCCTGAAATTCTTCAATCACTTGTGTCTGGTCTAGGCTTCGAGCAAAGATCTTCTACTGGTGGTTCTGTGGGAACTGGGGTTCGAGATGCGGCATGCTTCGGTATTTGGGCTATTTCCCGGAAGTATACAACACGAGAACTCCTGGCTTTGCAGCCCCAGTTGGTGGCGTCGCAATCTGGCCAGAAGGAGGTCGATGTTCTGCAAAAGCTGGCCGTGGAACTCATCTGTGCTGCCTGTATCGATCCTTCTGGGAACATCCGACGCGGGTCGTCTGCTGCGCTACAAGAGTTGATTGGTCGCCACCCTGATACCATCGCGCAGGGCATTCCTCTCGTTCAGGTTGTAGATTATCATGCCGTTGCACGACGTTCTCGTGCACTTACCGATGTTGCAAAAGCAACAGCGTCTCTGGATCAAATTTACTGGAGTCCACTTCTGGACGCTTTGATGGGATGGAGAGGTATTGGTTCTCCAGATGCCGAGTCCAGAAGACATGCGGCTAAGTCCATTGGAACGTTGAGTACACAGGAGCTATTCAAAACCATGAAGTTGGTCCTGGATAAATTGCTGCAAACTTTCTCCAGCATCTCTCGGAATGATGTGGAATCACGCCATGGCTGTCTGTTGTCTATTGCTGCTACGATCGATGCTTTTATTTTACATTGGGAAGCATCCGCAGAGAAGAGAGATACCCCGGAAGCCAGGGCTGTTTCCACTCAAGTGGCCAACATCTGGGATATATTTGGTTCTGTCTCAGGCCCTACCAATGACGACTTAACCTTCCAGACTTCACGCCCCGAATTGACAGCAGAGGCATCTTCCTGTTTGATCTACTCGCTCTCTCGGTCTGCCCTCGCAACAGATCTAGCTCAACCTTTAGAACCACTTTTGAATCGAGCACTCCAAATTCTATCCCTCTGTGTTTCCCGAAGTGACGATATCTCGATTGAAACATCTTCATCCGCCTTGGCGCAACTATTTCCTCTTCTATCGCGATCAAAGCAGCAAGAAACCGTGCGTTTTTGGTTCGCCCATCTCCGTACTTCATGGAGATTACCGGCAGGCCGTGGTCAAATTCTAGCACTCGGTACAGTGTTCAGGCAATTTGGAGCACAAAGTGATGTCCAAGAAGACATCGTGACCGAGATTCTTCGTTACACCGGGGAGGAAGAACTCATCGAGAAACGAGTTGCTGCTGTAAAATGCTTGTCCACCAGCATCTTGCCATTTATGAGTATGTTGAATATCTCTTGTTTACTGGCTAGTATGAAAAATGGGCTAACAAAACCTTAGCTACCACCGACACAATTGCGAGCAATTTTGTCGAATTCTTGAATGATTATACCACTGATAGAAGAGGTGATATTGGGTCTCTTATTCGAGTTGAGGCAATCCAGGCAGTCGGCATCTTGCTTCAAAGACAATCGAACTCTACACCACGCTCGACACCTGTTCAAACTTTGGTTGGGTGTCTTTGCCGTCTTGCATGCGAAAAGCTCGACAAGGTCAGACTGCAAGCATGGATTTCTCTACAAAATTTCTGGGAATCAGCAAGTGATCTCCCTCCACTTGAAAAGTAATAAGATTTCAACAATGCAACCGTTTCAAAATAAATGATGCTAACAAAAACAGGAAATTCGAGCACTTCAGCCATGTTTCGTCACAAGAGTACTTTGCTCAACTACTTACTTTGCAGGAAGTTGACTGGCTTCGTCTTCCACTGTTACAAGGACTGGCTACTTCTGCTATTTCAGGAGCAGAAGGTCTTGTTCGAGCATCTCGCTCAGCTCTGACGCAGTTGCTCTATTCCAAAGCTGAACCCCGACGCCAGGAGATATTGATGGTTTTCTTGCAGGATCTTTCAACGGTACTGAGTGACAACCTACAAGATGACCGTTTTGCCATTCCAGCCGTCGAATTTGTTGCATTTTTAATTGACAGTTACATCCCTGTTATCCCGGAAGGCTCAGATCCAAGGTTTGTAAATTGGTCTTTTGCTGCTATATCTACATCATCCCCTGACATGTTCTTTCTTCCTAGTTTCCGAAAATTGTTTACGCTAGTCCAAAAAGCACATTTCAGATCTGCGAACATGGCTCGATTGGAAGCTGCAGTCAAAGTCTATGCTACATTATCAAGGATTGACTCCTTGCGAGATAGTGTCTTGAAGAAGATGACCGGACTGCTTTTGCATCCTTTCCCAAGGGTAGGTTGGACCTCAAGCCCATGGGTTAACGGCACTTACAGTTGATTATTTTAGGTCCGATCAAGCGCTGCAGAGTATCTATTTGTTGTGACAGATTCTGAGATTGCCAAATACGAAGACTGGTCTGCGTCGCCTAAAAAGCTGAAGCCCCAGGTGGATAATCTGAAGGTCACCATTTCTCTGGAGGGATAAATAATAGCTCCACAGAAATCCCATGGAACCGAGATCCTGATCAAATTACTAATAGCAGCTGAAAAAGAAGATACAAAGCATGGGAAAAAAATGGTGTGTGAAATCTTCGGGCTTTGGTTGTGATGAGTACCATACCATTAGTACTCGTAGGTGTTGAGCCAACACTCGTGCTGGTACCTGTCGCGCTAGATTTGCTCGAGTGATCTTCCGCAAAGCAATTAAAGATGTACCGATTAGCATTGAACTCATACTTGGCACTGTGCAGCGTTTCGGGTATAGCCATCATTGCCAACAGTGCTTGGCCAGCAAGGACCATCGTCATTCTCACTATGATAATGAATAATGTCTGTCAGCCCGTTACAGCTCCAAGAAGCATACTTCACAATCAGTTCATCGATGATGGTCTTATTGCTAGGCAACCTGAATCTCCCATCGCCATCGATAGGCGCCTTCGTATCAAGCATCCCATGGAACTCCAGGTAAAGATATCCTGGGTCCCGCTCAGCAGGGGTGCAAGGCCTCACACCTTTAATCTCGTTGGCATCATGCTAGTCCCCTCTAACAGCCACAAAAGCCGCAACTTGTCTTCTGACTGTCACATTGCAGGCAATGACGCTGGCAGCCCCACCGCCATTCGACTTGCTCGCAGCGTATACATTGCTCGTGTCGACGCAGAGGGTTTCTTGTAGGTGCGTGAGCAAATCATCAGCAAAGTCTAGATCAGACAGAGATTCCATTTAGAGTTGAACATCGGGTTTGAAAGTTGTGCCAGATATTCTTCTCTACCATGTCGCGCGATGCTCCGTGGAAAAGGGAGTATCTCGCTATTGGCGTGTCCTTGTCATGGTTGGCAGGAATGAAGACTCAATGTTCCCGATCTAAGTCTGGAAGAGTGAGGAACTCGCTTGATCCTCCTTTGGGTACTTAGAAGGTACATCCGGTGTTTGAAAGTCTTGTGGCAAGCCCTACTTTTTTTTCAAGCGCGGTTTATAAGCCCCTTACCACCTTAATTTCAATCTTTTTCTTCTTGGATATAGTCTCCTACCAATATGAACAGGATAATGCGTGTATATATACCACCACATCTGCGGGGACGTGGTCTAAAAAGAACACGGGGGATACGTTGGGGATTGGCCTCCCTATTGGCCCGGTACGAGCCCTATTAAATGCCACTCGGAGTCATTTATAGTTAAATTTCGAAAGCGGTACTCCGAGTTTGTGAAAAGAAGTAGAAGTGAGGCGAATTAGGAGTGTTTAAAAGCAAGCTGCACGCACTACATTGGATACACTTGATCAAGATGTGATCGACCGCTCTATACCTAGGAGATTGCTTGCTACGTATGAAGTAAAGAGCCCTTGTGCCAAGTTACAAAATTGTTGCATTCATTAGCCTCATAGACATGTCTCTGCCGCAGCCCGGAGTTTTGGCTACGCTGATGGTCAGGGATAGTAGTGATGTGGGAACCACATTGTTTGAGCCTAGGTAGACAGCTAGTTTATTGGGGAATACGAAGTACATTGTCTGAGTTTTGGAGGGGATCGAGGGATAAGCACGGAGATCCGTCTACAGGTCTCAGAATGTAAATGCCAATGTAAATTTGTGAGGGATGGATGATGACATACGTATTATTAAGCAGCGTACTTATCCTACGCAACAACTCTATAGTAATAAGATCATTTTTACCACAACCAGCTTAATTCCATAACACATTGGTAGCATGTAC